TCACGGGGGACCTAATTGACAGGTTCTGCTGTTGAAACTGCTGCTGCTGTTGTTGGATTGGGGACCTTTGCTGAGGCATGGCTTTCAGAAGCTGCTGCTGTTGCTGCTGATGTTGCATCTGTATGAGCCTCTGTTGATGCAAAATCTGAGCTGCTGCTGCCGCTTGAGACGACTGTCTAATCAGCTGTTGTTGCTGCTGCTGCAAGAATAAAGACGGGTCGGAATGTTGGGGCTCTAATTTGACGGGACCCAAGCCCCTCATGCTCGGTATCTGCTGTGATTCCATTTTTACGGTACCCATACCACCCATGCTCTGCATCTGTTGTGCCTCCATTTTAACCGAACCCATGCTCCTCAGAGCCTGAAATTGCTGCTGTGATGCTTGCTCATTGGCTGACGTTTGCTGCTCGAGCTTCACAGGTCCCAGACCAGGCCGCATCCCCTGAAACTGCTGTTGCTGCTGATTACTACTATTGTTATGTTGAAAATTTTGCGAGTCGAGCTGTTTTTGGATCTGTTGCTGGTGGCCGGCCGTCAACATCCCAGATGTGTTTGCGAACTGGTGCTGTTGCCCCTGAACCTGACTGGATGGGGTCTGATTGGTTGTGACGGGTGCAGAGAGATAGGAAGTGGTTGGGGTAGTGAAACCCATCCCATTCCCCACGATAGAGTCGGGCCCACCGTCGACAAGCCCATGATGAGAGCTGCCCGGGCCCCCATTACCAAACGACTGGTGTAGCAATGATGAAACGTTGTTATTGCCGAGCATGTTCAAGTTATTGAACTGGTTACGTGGGGAAACTAACGAGGGAAATGCATTTTGAGATGGCATCCCGGGCCCCTGTCCGCCCAAATGCCCGGAATTCGATCTCAAAAGGGATGGTGGGACGGGCTGGCCTCCACCAAGAGGGTTCGGGGGCCCTTGCGGCACCATTTGTTTTGTCTGAAAACTGACACGCTCTAGTATACACAATACTATGACTCACAGGCCACAAGTGATGATTACACGGTAATATATAATACCATTTATTTTAAACCTTAACCTCTAGAGTGCAAAAACGGGTTACAAGTTAAAGAGGAAAATAATACAAGTTAAAGGGACATGCCTCATGCATGAGGATATGGGGGTTTTTACTAAATGATTCGAGTTGAAAATCGAAGTTTTCGAAATCAAGGGAGCTGGTGTTGTTGGTGAACATCCTAATTGTGTTTCTTTTTTATTCAAGTTGCAAACTTTCACCAGGTGCCCTATTAATCCCTGCATAAAACAGTCAACTCAAGTCAGATTGTTTCCCCCTTTACAGTAGCTAATATCAGAAAAGCAACTTCTGGGCATATAATGGAACTCAAGAGAACAAGAAAATAATGAAAAACTACTGAAACAAATTAAGATGAAAAGTATGAAAGAAAAGAAAACAAGAAACACATAAATTTTTAGAGATAAATAAAAAGAAATGAAATGAGAAGCACGATTGAACCCTAAATCTCGCAACAAAAGACAAAAAAACACTCGATCCAAGCCAGAATGAAGCGATATGACTAGGGCTTTTATACTGCAAACAAAAGGCAGCCCACTTCACACGCACATATGATATTAACAAAGCATAAACACAAAGACACACACAAACACAGTCTGTATAGAACTAAAACCATAGCTTAACAACACACAGAATGTTAATTAAAGAGAAAACCCACAATGAAACAAAGAGCAGAGGAGTTACCAAAGCAGGATTCAACTCCGCAATCTGCTAAATCCTCGTCAAGTGAAGCTAAAGATAAATACAGTCCGCTACTCGTTGCTCTCTTAAGCATCAAGAGAAAGGGGAAAATTCACTTCCTACAGTAGGGGAAAAAAAAAACAATAAAAAATCAAGAGCAGAAGAACGACTAGCACAGTCTCGTAGAGCGGGTGAATGTGTAAGATTGAGGTCCAAAATGTTAATCTCAAATTTTTTCGGCAAAACCAGAGAGGAGAGAGACGCTTCTAATTGAGCTCAAGTTTTTAGAGAGAGAGAAAGATGAACAGAGAGGAGAGAGAAAGGTGTGTTTGTGTGTGCGGAGTGTGGAGGGGTTTTATGGCGGACGTCAAAAAATCCATTGGATCGGATTCAAACTTTTCTCTCTCTCTCTCTCTCTCTCTCTCTCTCTCTCTCTCTCTCTCTCTCTCTCTCAAATGAAGTCAATTTTTCTTGTATGCGTGATGTATGTATGTTATGTACTTATGGGAAGATGCTACGGGTCCTCTGTTACGGAATCATTTTATTGATATTTGTAACCGTTAGATCAATTATTTCTGACGGTTACATGATGATCTAACGGTTAAAATATTGACAGAATGATTCCATAACAGGACCTTAACATTTCTCGTACTTATGTTATACAGCACATATCTCATTCACAATGAACACGAGTTCATAGGAATAAATTCGACCATATTTTGAACTTATTTGAAAATGATTCGCGCCAAACTTTTGGATGTAAAAGCTCATTTAGATAAATATTATGGTTGAGTTAAAACTAAGAACAGATGAAGATGTTTGGAGAAATTCATTTTGTATCAGGCTACGTTTGGATGAATGAATTTGAAATACGTAGATTTTCATAATTATAAGTTCATATACCCATGTATGTTCGAATGACAATAGAAGTTGAAGGATTTCGAGTTCACGCTAGATATAAATTTCAATCATTTTGAAAGATTTTTAAATAAGTACTCAGACCTAGTCATTTGAATCAACTGTTCATCGCATTGTTCGCTACCACACGAGTATGACTTTTCCTTTAGATTCATCACCACTGCAAGTCAACACCATCAGTGCGAGCTACACAATGGATTGATAATCATATCCACAAATTAATTCAATGAGTATGAAAGTAGAAAATTTACGTTTCGAAAAAAAATAAAAAATAATGGATTTTAAATCACTCAATACAAATGTAACCTAAGTTCATTCAAGAGATAGGCTTTTCCATATGTGCTCTGAAACAAGCACATCATCGTTTGATCAACACAATCATAAGTGAAGGTGTTTGTTTATTCAACGTAAAAATCTGAGAATCAATATATTGAAATGTTCGATTAATATGTAATTGTGTATGCATAAGGTCCTATTAATTCTATGTATGTTATGTTGTATGATGTATTATCATATACCAGTTCTGCTCACTTGCCAACGGTGGGCAGTGCCCACCACTTTATTTTTTACATGAAAAACGTATTCTGAGAATACGTTTTTCATGTAAAAAATAAAGTGGTGGGCACTTTCTATCGAGAATACGTTTTTCATGTAAAATAAAGTGGTGGGCACTGCCCATCGTAAGTAAGGATCAAAATTTTATCATATATAGTGTATGTATGTGTATTGAATTATTTATGGATGTATGTATGATGGTATTGAATGGGTCGACATGATTAGCCTTGAGGCTGTCCCACCTCATCATTTGTTGTTCGATGTGTTGTACCCTTTTTTGCACTTAGAATGATATTAATTCACCATAATGCCACAGGGTATTTTTTTTATAATTAACTTTTCTTGTTGATATTACTATTATTATTTGTTATCATTCTTATAGTTTATAACTTTTTGCGTTTTATTGAAAATTACAATACTTTTTAATAAAATGCAAAATTTAACTCATTTAATTATCAACTTTAATGTTTCATTATTTTATGTGTCAATCTATGATGGTTATGTATCAAATTTTGGATGTTTCGTATCAATATGTATAGCTCTTGAGTATGAATATGATTTTATAGTATTACGAGATAATTGGTTATAAATATGAACGATTCAATTTGCTATAATGCCCACGTTGAGTATGAGTTAATTCGTCCACAAACTGACATCGTAAAAAATTAACATATCGTGCATTTTTGGTATGACATTCAAAATTTACAAAAGTTTGTCATGTTGCTAATGGATACGTATTTTAATGTGTTAAGAGTTTGTAGTTTAAGGATCTTGCATGAACAACTAGCTCAAAACATAAGTCCAGAAAAAAAAAAAAAAAGATATTGTCAAAATCCCTAACTAGAAGAGACCCCATTCATCTTCCTTGTGTTTTCCCCTCCACTGGCCGACAACCTCCATCGTGGCACCGCTTTACATCGAGGTGTCGGGCGAGCTTCCCTCATCTCCTCTTCTCGGGTGTGGCGCGTCTCCATCTTTTGGTGGTCATGACATAACTTGAGGTTGGGGTCCGACGTCTGTGCGGCGAGTTCATGGTCACTTACTCTGTCTACTGCATATGTGGGGGTAGGTCATGAGTCTGACACTGTCTGACCCCCTGGATTCTTCGTTTGGGTCTAACGAGGGGTGTGGTCAGCTATCGTTGTTGGTGGTCGATTGTCGTCGCCTGGTTTAGTGTTGGGGGCTATAGGTGTGGTCCGGGTTGGTTCTCGCAAAAGGAGTTTGGGCACGTTTGGTTCGGTCTAGTTAGGCCTTGGTTGCAGTTTCTAGATCTAGATTGCGTCGTGTTTAGGTTTCTGTCGAAAACTATGTCGCTCGGTAGCCTTGGGTTGACTGCTGGCAGTTGAGAATGGTCTTGTTATTTGTTTGGTGTGTTTTGTTTAATTTGTGTTTTAGTTGTTGTGTTGGTGTTTATTCTCATTTTTAGGAGCGTGTTTTCTCATGTACATTTTAAGAGTTTGAATTTCTCACCTGCACGGAGCTGTATAGTTTGTTGTTATGTAAGTGAGTTAGAGTAGTTGGTTTTAAGCTACCTGTGTGTAAGCCTTTTAGATTCTAACTGTTTGATTATTTCTGGCTGCCATCCCAGTGTAATTATTTATTTTTTAATTTATATATATTTTTTGCCGTTAAAAAAGAAAAAAAAAATAGCTCAAACAAGAGTATGATATTTAAGTTTTCTAGTTATAGAACAAACGAATAACTTTATCAACAGGGTTTGAAGAATTAATTCTGTGAGAATAAAAGAACTTAATAAAAAATAAAATTTCATATATGCAATACGAAATTATAAATGTAGTTAATTTTATTTTTATGCTTTTGCGCAATTTTAGTTGCACCAGTCAATATTTCAATGTAATTTTTTCTCATGTAATTTACTTACTTTTTAATAATTTTAAAATAGCATTACAGAAAATAAAAGTATTAATTAAATTATAGAAAGTCATAATTCTGTTTTGATCAAACTTTTTGGTGACCTTTCTTAAGACTATTTTTTGTCATTAAAATAGAGAGATTCAACGGTTCCGTTACATAACCATTACGTCGGGTTCATAACCGTTAGATCAATTATCCACGACGGTTAAATGATGTTCGTTCCGTAACGGAATTGTAGCATTTCTCCATTAAAATAATCATATGGATCATTGACTTCTGGAGGCAGAAACTCATTTAGAACATTAAATGCCCAAATTTTAAATGTGGCAGATGAAATATATATAGCATATAAATCAAATTATGGTGACATTTTCCAATTTTGGGTTGCTTAGTAGTTAGCAATTAGCCTGTGTGATAGAGCCATGGTAAGTATATACATACATTTAATTATTTATAATTTTTTTTAGCAAACCAACCAACTATCAATATAGTTATGCTTCATATAGTGCAGATATAGTAATAATTAATTTAAATTTATGACATGTCATTAAAGAAAATTTACAAGTATTAAATCAAACCTGAATATATAGAATTTCAAATTCTAATAATTAAGAATTAATAACAAAAATTTGTGAAAGTAAATACAAGGTTAAATTTAATTTACTTAAAAAATAAGGACCTTCAAAATTTTGACACCAAATGTTTATTTTATTTATATTGTTGAATTGCTTTTTAAAGAAGCTATTCTAATTAACTTATTCGGTTAAAAATAGTTTAAATAGTTAATTCAATTAGATTTAATTGAATTATAAGTTTTCATTGGTTGATTGTATTGATTATTTATATAATGTATTTAATAAATAAGTAA